AAGATATTTATATAAAATAAAATAATATAAAATCAACTATGACAAATATAACAAATATAACAGATATGATAAATATGTTAAATATGATAAATATGTTAAATTGATCAACGTTGACAACTTTAACAACTCTGTCAACTTCGTCAACTATGTCGATCATTTTGATCACATGACTTATACGTAGCGCAGTCACGGATCACGGTTTCAACAGCATTAAAAACTTGCATGAAATTCTGTCGAACCCAACTAGTTTGTTCTTTAATCATGTAATCTTGGACATGTTTGAATATTTCTTCAAGCAATAATTCGTCAAATGCCATTAATAATCCGAAAGTATCTTCTCCTGACAGCTTTGTTAAATTAAGTTCTCCCGTGTAAATGGACCTTAAAGAAAAAAGATATAAACGTTTTGGTAATCATACATAAACAAATAATATATTTATTTATTTTAACTTACTTTAAAATAACCTCAAAGATTGTTGGAGCAATATTTGGTTTATTATACATGATCATACCGTTCTCCTTTATGATCCATTCAGTCGAAAAAGCTTCTTTAAAGTATTGTGAACGAGCCCGTAAAATAACTGAATGAGCACGAAATTCTTTCGAATTTTGACCTTCACCAACTCGAATAATAACGTTGAAATCTTCAGAGTCATTTAAAAGCAATGAAAGATCTTTTGAAAGATCGGAATGTAGAATGAAAGTCATGTTCAAAGTAATTAAGAAATTTTTAAAGATGAAGTAGAATTTTTATATATCATAAAAAGTATTAATCATTACATTTCATCTTTTACGTCATTGTATTACAAAATATGCACAAATAAAAATCGTTTCAAAACCCGATTAAAAATTCAGACTTTATATCAAATAAAAGCATTTCCACTTGCCAAATAACATCAAAATAATTTCTTTGTAATCACCAAGGAAGTTTTTATATATAAACAACAACTTTATTTATTTATTTATTTTTTTTGGTAATTTTATAGATCTTCAACACTTTAACGTACGAAAAATTTTGATAATCCAAATATCAATTCTGCAAATATCTTAATTTTGGCCGGAGCTAATATCGACTATTTTAACTGGACTAGTTTAAAAAACGTCCGTCTTTTCTTTATAAATCAAATTCTCGCTTGAATGATGGAAATGATAAGTGCGACTAGACTTACAAAAACAGAATTTAAACATAAAAATAATCACAAGTTTTGTGAACAGGCTCTACATAGGTAAAAGTAATGAATTTTAATTACCAAAGATTTTAAATCTTGTTATAAAAATTGTTTCACTATAGTGATTAGTCGTAATTAAAAGATGTTTCACGAAAAAAAGTCTGATATAAAAATAAAAAGCTTTGTTCAATAAAAGTCAACAGTATGTTTCAATTAATTATTGATCTATAATAGAATCAAATTAATTGCAATTTAACAAAATAATATCTTATAACCAAGGAACGACATGAACATGTCATATGAGTACATTTATTTTCAATTCTGTATGTTATCCTCCAAAAATTGCATGTGGAAGAAGAGACAGAGCGAGCGCGAGTTCAGCGAGTGTGAGAAAAAGAACGAGAATGAGAGCGAAGGGATTAAGAGAAAGTTCGAGAGAAAGAACGAGTGAGTATCAAGAGCAAGAAAATAAAAAGAGTAAGGCGAGAGAAAGTTTGAGCGAGAGATTATGCAAAAGGTTGCAGGTTAACTGTGACGTTCATCTAAAAATAGAAGTAATTTTAACAGTTAAGAAATGACTTTATTAAACATACATATAATAAAATTATGCGTAATGTATGATTCATCAGTAACACAGAAATTTTTAATGTCGTATGGTTTGCGTAATATATTTTCCAAAGTTTAGCTTTTCCTTTAAAATACTCGTATTTTGTTTTACTTTTTTTTTCGCACTTATTGCCAATAAGATACAGTGTTATGAAAAGTTACACCAAACACGTTTTTGAATAAAAACTGGGCCAAATTGTCGGTTTTATTTTTAAAAAAAAAAATAAAATAAAAAATAATGTTTCTAATGAATTAAACCAAACCAAACCAATTTTTTTTTTTTGAAAATTAAGAAATTAAAATTGAACTAATAACGGTGTTGGTCTGTACCTTTTGATGAAAAATTCATTGAATAATCACTTAGAGCTTGCAGTATCTCCAAACTTAAGAATTCTTAAATCCATAAAAGAGCAGGAAACTTTTGTAATTTTTAAAATAAAGACTATATAATTCCCAACACAGATTTCAAATCTTACTAAAGATTCGAAAACTTATAATTATTCCCATCCTCACCGATAAATCCAAGATTTAAGATGCTGTACCCGCAAAACGGAAATTTTTTAGAATAAAAAATTATCAAATTGTTGAACCTATAAATGGTAAATTATTTTATTTTATAAAAATAAAATCTACTTTAAAAAAAAGAGCTTGGTTCCGTAAGCTTAATAGGTATTCTTAAGCAATGGTTGGTTCATATCCACCTTATAGGTTGCGGGTATTTTTACATCGCTTCGCTTAAAATTAAAAGTTGTATAATTGTCTTATTATTGACAATAAGGAAGTAAGAATTTTTTTTAATCTGATGGGTCAATTTCAAATTTAGCTAGCGTTAGGACTGAAATATTTATTCACCAACGAGATTAATTAATTATAATTTGAGATAAAGTACATTTGTTCTCTACAAAATGTTATGGAGTGAAGAATCTTAATAAATTGTTCAGCAAAATTTGATTATTCACTACCAAGGCTTTCTTAGAAACCAACAGAAACATTAAAAGCATGTTAATTTTAAGAAGGCTGATCAGAATAGCATGTTTCATTTGACGTGAACTCAATTTTAAATAGCCGTTCCTTAAAATTACATTGTTTCCATCATTTTTTCTGACTTTTCAACAACATAAAATGAATTAATAGGTCTGTTAGCATAATAAAGAAAATATAATAAGTAATCCTAAATAAATATTTTTTTAAAAAAAATTCATCATTTCATATTATTATTATATCATTTCATCACTAGCATTCATGAGATCAGAAAAAGTACATTGAATTACATTTTACATTCTGTTAGAAGACATCGACTAATAATAATGTCAAGTCGTTTTACAGAGCCTGATGTAACACATAAAAGCTATTTGTAAAGATTGTATATTAATTCCATAAACGAAACCTACAATAGCGATGCAAACATTCCTGCTGTTTCATTAAAAATTCTTTTATGATACTACAAATTTGGCACAAAAGAGTAATTACAGTAAGTCCTGCAGTTGAAATACAGATTTTTAGTTGTTAATTTTTGTTCCCCACTAAAATCTTAAGATTGCCTACTGTTTATTTATTCTGTTACGATATATAAAATCTTTCAAGAGCTCAATTACATTATTATTCACTTTAATATGAATTTTGAAACTACTTATGTAATCTTAAATCTTGCCGGAGTAGTGAAGACTTTAATATAAATGTGACCTATTTTTCCGAGAAAAAAAAAAATCTGGTATTTATTATTGGAAATTGAGACCAGTTAGGTCTAGCCGTTTTCTAATAAATATAAAAACGATTGTAAGTAGATTTTTAATTTCTAAAAATAAAAAAAATTATTATATTAGATAGTTAGTAAATTAACAACCTTAAATGACTGAAACAATATTTAAGATTACTTTTGTTAAGTTTAGCATTGGATAATTCTGGAGAGCTAGACGTTTTTGCCAATTCATTTTGTATGTAATGTATCACATTAGGCGGTTTAGCTAGTAAATCACGTTCGATTTTAGTATTATTTTAATGGTAAAAACACTAAAATAATCATATTATTTATAATAATTTTCCTTATCGAAGCGCTAAAAGATTTTCATGGTTTCTTTGAAGTTTTTTTATTTTTTTTATTTCATTTTGTTCATTTTTAAGACGCGACAAAAGGAAGATTTTCATCCATCAATATTTTTTTTTTTGGTTTGTTTCATATTCTGAAAATAAACAATTTTCAACAAAAATTCCCAAAACATTTTAAATGGTTCGATTGGAGAAGAAGGTATACTAAAGAATAATCTGTAGGTTAGGAATCAAATTTTTTTTTTAATTTATGGTTCGCTTTAAAGATGCCAACTTAGACTTTTCTTTATTGCGATAAAATATAAATTTAATCGAAACAAAAAAAAAAAAATTTCAAATAAATTATTCTTGCTTGATGGATATGTCACGCTTTGCACGCACGATAAAAAAAAGCAAATATTAGGCTTACTAGACCATCTCTATGCAACATGTTTTCTATACTCAGCCCCAAAGTGCTTAGCGATTTTATAAAATAATACTAAGCCCACTCTAAACTATTATCACAAATAACTAGAAGCCCGTAATAACAAGTAAGTTTATATTGCTCAGAATTTCGCTACTGAACTTTATATTCGTTTTTTTTGATTACAAAATGCGATTTGGATGTTTTAAATTTTCACCCTTTTTTTAGGAAATTAAATATTTGAAAAAGTTTCTTTTTTTTTTTTTTGATCAAAGAAGCTTTTTTATGAATTTACATAATGTCTCCTAAACAATTTACTCTCATCATCAACTTATTTATAATTCTGTTGATATTATCAACATCAATTGATTCCAACACTTTAAATGAACGAGATAATATTGATTTTACCCCTTGTACTGGAGAACTCGTTGTACTTCATTAGCAAAGAAAATTACTGAGAAAAATCATGCACATGTAGCAACAATTGCTATCGTTAATAAGAGTGGTTATAATATAACTCACTTGCCTGTTAGACTTGAAGATGGACGTTTTGTTAAGCATGATGATCATGAAAATATCGACATAAACTGTGAGCCACAACTGAACCTCTCGTAAACGATCAAACCGAAACATTTTCCAGCATTACAAGTCATGGTTTTGGCTGAGTGAAAGGAATTGCCATTTTCACCATAAATGACGGTGGTTCAAGCACTTTCGCTTTATTCTGGGACGTTCCAACAATTGGCCCTCCTAATTACGAGATCGAAGGATTGCCTAATGAAAGATATTACAATGAAATCAAATATGATCTTGATAATACATTATATCAAGTTACAATTCATCAATACGAACATGTTAAAGTTGCAGTTAATCAAAACGCTGTTGTGAATGTGTGGTTTATCATTCCCCCATATTTTTTCCCACCATACATTATCTTGTTCGTCTCTCGCATTATAACCCTGTAACTTATTATTTCATACAAATGATTATTTTTTTTGGATCATTATTTTTTTATCGTCGGTTTTAGGCTCCAAAATAAGGTTTAACGACGTTCTACATAATAAACGAATCAAATGTGTCACGTATTTTAAAAGGAACGATAACACCTATTATACAATTTGAGATTATTCGATCCATTTAAATCTCTGGCGCAATGTGAATAGATAAATGATTCTTCTAAAAAAAAATTAATAAATTATTTTCACCTTTACGTTATCATTAATCAACAAAAATAAAGATTTTCAATGGCGCAGCTGTTAAAATTAAATATCATATTGCTATTGTTATATGGAATATTTGCTATTATTTATTTATTTTGTCTCATAACTTGATTTAATTAAAATGTCAAAACAATAAAAACAAATTTATTTGATGATACGTTTCATTTGTAGTTAGATCCTCATGTTTAAAACATTGTTATTATTTAAGTGAACGACATCAAAACTGGATATTATATGGAGAAAATAGTAGTCGTTTATATATAAATGATTATATTTAACTTAAAAGTATGATTATTTCAAATTTTTTATTAATAAATATATATTTATTTTTAGAAAAAAGAAATGCGATTTATAATATACTGAACGGGGAATTTTATGTCTCCTTTTGAATTAATTTTATTTTTAAAATAATGTTAGTAAAACGATTATTGATTTTTTGTAGGTATGAATCTTCGGTATTCCGGTAAATTTCATGGGGACTTTTTTTTTACAAGTTCTTTTTTTTTTAATGAATTATCCGAATTTGGTAATTTCGCAAATATAAGTAGTAATTAATTAAATTTTGTTAATATAAGAATCGGTTGAATTCATAAAAATGAATTATGTTTGTATATAATTAATAATATTAAATGCTCTAATCAATATTACATGAATCAACCTCGAATTGGTATTTTTGTAGAATAAAAAGAGTAATTTTATTAATAGCTACTCTTCTTAGTAACAAAATAAAAACAATAAAGCAAATGAAGTATCGAAAAAATGATATAGTGTTGTATTCAGTTCTTTCGTTTATGTATTTATAAACAAATTTAAATGTAAGCAGAAGGTTTTTAATGAATAATTATTGAATAAAAATGAAGTAATTGTGACAAGTATTTATTTAATAATATCAAATTAATCAGTGTTGCCTCAACGTCGGCGCTCTACACTTTCGCTTTATCAATATATTAAACTAAGTAAATGCCAAGTAATAAATTCTAATTCATTAAAACTGCGCAAAATTACGAAACTATAACATAAGATTGAATAATAAAATACTAATAAAATCGGGAATTAAAAATTAAAAACAATAAATAAAATTACAAATGCGAAGTTATAAAGTCAGCATACATATTTGGATACATAATTGATACATTAAATATTTTTAACATTTCGCAGTTATTGTATGTCGATTTCTTATAAGTACTACTTGATAAACATTTTTATGTATGTCCATTGCTGTTACACAAATTGATTGTGAACCCCGATATACTACAGTCATTAGTCACACACCTCTAGGGACCAAAAAAATTTGGTGTGATTATAAAAAAGTTATGTGACTATAGAAGAGGATTTTTTATAAGTTTAATATTAACTTATTCCTAAAAAAGGGAGGAGTGACTATAAAGGAGGTGATTATATAGGGGGTCGACTGTATCTGACTGACTACGGCTTTGTATTTTGTTAATTTTTGATAATTTATTAGAAATTTCAATTTTAACATGTATACTCTTATAAACGTTACGACGATCTTACGTGGTAGCTCAACACATGATCCTGCTGCCGATTAGCACCTGTTTCTCTATTAAATTTACTTTTCTAATGACGGAGCTGAAAGGAAAATGTCGTTGTTATAAAATCCAAAAAGTATAATAATAATATAATACATGAATTTAATTGCAAACGTCAAATAACCGTTACCACTTTATTTTTTACCGACACAATGTTTTAACATCTTTAAATAATCAAACTTTGTAAAAAGAATGGACAGGAGAATTACATCAAACAAAACTAAGGACAGAATTGCAAAACATATACATACCACAGCCCAGCTTATGCTGCATATAAAGAAGGCACATATCGGATCCCTCATCCAAATACTGCGGATCTAATAAGCTACTTTGGCTACTTAAAAGGATGTAGTGTCCACCCTTGTCATGACGAATTCTTCAAGGGTACAAGAAGTGGCTACGTTTTTCCATATTTTTACAATTGTTAAAAAATCTTATTGGTGCTCAAAAGTTTTAATCTTGTTACAAATTTCTGGAGAGCTTGAATTTTTTTTTATAGGAATATTCTATATTGATCTTACAAAATACATTGATTACATTCATCTTCCGTAATTGAATGTCAAAATGCGTAAATAGAAATTTTCAATTTCAAATCCGTTTAAAATGTAAAGAATTTTAGAAATACTTTTATCTAAATTACAGATTTTAATATAAAATTCCTTATGTTTCGACGTTAATTTCAAAAGTATTATAATTATCGAAATCTGAAGCATAGGGGTATCGGTTTTTACCATTTGTTAAATGAGTATGACTCGAAGCTACATCAGTAAAAGCAACTCGAAATTGTTGAATTATAATTTAAATAACTAATCAAATTTCTCTGATTCTCAAGTGCTCAAGTAGTAGATTGTTAATCTGCTCAATGCATAATAAAACTTTTATAACTTTAAAAGTAGACTAGCAAGCTTACCCAAAGGTCATAAAGATAATAAATTTATTTACATAATTAAGTGTTGTTTAAATCTAGAAGAAAATTTAATTTTTTAATTTTTTTTTTAATATTCTTTTTAATTATGTTCATTGAATTTATTTTAATTGAATTTATTTTTTTTTTTTATTTAAATGTCATCAAATTTACGATTGACATATATATATCGAATTTCTCCAAAAATATCGATGAATTTTCTTAAAAGCAATACCAACAACGAATATTAGCATATAATAGCGAAACTTTATTCGGAATATTATTTTTTCAATTGTTAAGATGCTAGCTAAGTATTTATAAAAAATGATTGTAATAAAAATACTACAACTAAATAAGTTCCGATATATCTTTAAACCATCTGTATTCATTTTTGTTTCTCCTGCTTTCTTTGTTTTGTAATATTACTTCCTATATCACACTCCTACTTTCTTTTCATTTTCATTATAATTTCACATTTACTTCATAACATTCAATACTCATTTCATCATCGCTTTTTCATCATCATTTTTAAATATTCATCAACATTGGGACCCTAGAACATATTGAGATATTTTATTGATCCATTTGGAAATTTCTAATGATCTTCATTTTGAGAATTATTATATTTCTGTGGAGGAACTCTAGCAGTACAAAGAATTGATCCCAAGTGTGGCTTGCTTATTGGATGATTTGATAAAGGCTTATCTTGACAGAATTGATCGACATTGCGTTGAACGCAGTAAAGTCTTAATTTCGATGTCGATGCTAAATATGTAATACAAAGTTTTATTTCAAATATTTAAATTAAAGCTTTTAAAATTTTATTTAAAGTAACTCCCATGTCATCCGAAAACTCCAACTCTTTCAACTTTCTTTGTGCTTCATCATAAATCTGTCTTTTTTTCCGTGAAACATTTCTTCTTCGTTTGCTACTTGCCGATCATCGAAATAATAATTGATTTCGTTTGAGGTAAATGTATTTTGAAATACGACCATATATAAGATTATAATGAAGTGGCTTTATGTCTTGTTAATTAATTAATTTACTTTTTTTTTAATTTCTAAAAAAAATGCTTTAATTGACTTGTAAATATAAATTGTTTAACTATTTCATTCTGATTTTAAGCTATTTATTCGTTAGTGAGTGTTGTGTCATTTGTTCTTTTGTTGGAAATAAACTTTACTATTTTTGGAGGGATAAATAAGGATAATTGGATTTGTTCAAATGAGTGTGTTCATTGAAGGATAAATGCAATTTTCAGCCCTGGGCTTGTATCACTTGCCGATCATCGAAAGTATCATGATCTACCAAAAGTTGCCTTTTTCCCCAAATTTCACCTTTTCTCGCTACAAAAAAAATAAAGCAAAATGCAATTTGATAATAATTCAAATGAGTCGATAAATTTGCTTGAAGAATTTATTTTAAGAAAAAATATCAACCTTTATGAATTCAAACATTTTAGCAATTTTCAAGAGATAGGTATAGGCAGTTTTGGAAAAGTCTGTCGTGCAAATTGGAAAAACTCGAAACCTCTCGCGTTAAAATCTTTTAATAACTTTAACAATGCCACTGTCAAAGAACTAGTTCGAGAGGTAATAAAAATTTTCAGTCTATTAGGTCAATTTGGTATAAAATCATATACCAAGCTAAAAATTAATAATCGTAATAATTTAGCTTGAACATCAACGGGAGGTTGACCATAGAAATATCATCCGCTATTTGGGTATTACATTATCATACCAAGGTATAAAAAAATTAGATCAATAATTTAATTATAATTTTATATTGACTTTTATATTGTTATTTTTTTTGTAAAAAAAAAAAAAAATTATTTAGAAAATGAATTGAAAAATTATTGCTTAGTAATGGAATATGCTGATGGCGGAACGCTTAGAAACTATTTGAAGAATTATTTTGACAAGCTTTCTTTGGGAGATAAATACAATTTGTCGTTTCAGCTGGCTTGTGCTGTATCGTGTTTACATGACAAAGGAATTGTACATCGTGATCTGGTAACATTACTTTAGTATTAATTTTATTTATTATGAACATTTCATTTTAGTAATTTTTTTTATATTATAGCATTCCGGCAATATATTAATCCATCAAGGCGTTATTAAACTAGCAGACTTTGGTTTATCAAAAAGAATTGAAAAAGCAACTAATCAGTTAAAAGTTTATAGTGCTATTGCTTATATTGACCCTAATAGTTTTATTAGAGTAGGAATAAATGACAATACATCGCAGCAATATATACTAAACGAAAAGAGTGACGTATACAGTGTTGGCGTTCTTTTGTGGGAGCTATCAAGTGGTTGTCCTCCTTTTCATGTTAAAGATGAAGTGTATGACATTGGTTTGTCTATAGAAATTTCACAAGGACTTAGAGAAAGTATCGTTCCCGGCACATCTGAAGATTATGTAAACATTTATACTGGTAAATATATTTCTACTTAAAATATTAATTTTATTTTTTCGTTCAATAAATTTTTTATATGATTTTAGAGTGTTGGGATAATGAGCCAGACAATCGACCGACCATGAACAAAGTGGTTGAGGAATTAAATGCAATTATTACAAAAACAAATATAGTTGATTGTGTTCAAATGAAAAAT